GCCCCCCACCCCACCCCAGGGCCCCATGCCTACTTGCTGCATATGAAGCCGATGAAATTGGTCTGCAATACACTGAAGCTTTCTGGCAATCTGTATCTCTGCTCGATGTTGCCACTGTCCTTCGGGGGGCTGTTCACCAAGGGGCAAGCCTGCAGGGAAACTGGCAGGGAGAGGGAGCCGGTAGCCAGCATTGCCTGCAAAGACAGAGGGCCCACATCTCAGTATTCTCCACAACTGCCCCTTCCTCCCCACGCCTAACACTCTTGGCAGAGACCTGGGGCTGAGGCCTTATCAGGGCAGTCTGCCAAATTTGGACAACCTGACTTGCTTGCTCCCCAAATGTATAAAAGTTGATGCTGGGAGAACAGAAGGGAATCATCCCAGCCTTCCCTTCAGTTCTACATTTGCCAGCAGTGCCATGGCAAAGGTACTATGTATGGGTGAACTTGCCAACCTTCTGTCCTTATTTACCAACCTATGCTTGACCACAATTTATTATTCATGTAGTAGCAGGTTGAAGCTCTTCTCTAGAAAAGCACTGGAGACAGCTCTCCAGAGTTCCTGGGTTGAGCAAAGCAAGGGAGAGAGAAAGAGAAAACCAAAATGTGTCTTCACTTTTTAGTGCAGCGTAGGAAGGCTAGTCTCAGGTCCTAAAGCTCTGGACAATGGTACAAAAACAAGAGAGAGAAAACTCCTCAGACCCACAGAAGAATCAAGTTCCTCTCTGGAGGCAGCCTCAGGCAAGACCTCAAGATCAGCGCTCCACACTAACCAAGTGCTGGCAGTTGAGCTGCCGCTAGGGGCACCCGCCTGCCTCCTCCCTCCTATCCCTCGTCCCGCCAGAATTCGTGTGCCAGAATGACCCTATGGGTTGAATTACCCTATGGGTTGGCTCCCTCTGGGAATAACTGCAGCGTCTCCCAATCTATCCATCAGACTCAGCAAGATAGCCTCTGAGCCTTTCCCTTCCCTCCATTAGCTATTGTGTTAAAAGAAGAAAACAGACCGTCTAACCCTGCCTTTTTGCCAGAGGAGAGCATATAGCTCATAAATAAACCACTTAAGTCCACAGATGAAGGGGTCTTGTCCTATTGAGCCTTGGAAAAGCCCCTCTGCTGGCATTGAGCCTAGGCAGTCCCAACCTCTTTTTCCAGTTCCCCTTCCAATGCACAGAAAGTCCCAAGTGACGAGTGGGGGCCACCTTCTGCCTTCAGGAACCTTCTGTCCCAGAACCAGCTGGGTTTTTCCCTTCAGTGTCAACAGCGAGTCACAGATCCCCCAACCTTCTCAGAGCAATGTTAGCCACTTTAAAGAAGGTACATCACTACCAGGACACAAGAGGCTGAACCACTTTATGGGCCACAGGATGCAAAAGCCGAGGCTCAGGTACCCTCTCTCCAACTCAACAAGATACAGTGGACCCAAGGATCCCTCCAGAAAGGGACAAAAGAATGGAAATATTGGCAGGGCAATTTGTCTTTCTTGACGCCCAAGGAGCACAGGTAAGGAGCAATGACAAGCAGAAAGGTAGCAGGTGAGAGTTGAGGGTATCAATAAGCCCCTGCTGCTCAATTTGGGGAAGGAAACAGCAGAGGGCAGGTTTGGGGAGGGAAAGTCCCCTCTTTTCCCCAAGTCTCTATGGGAGGAGTCCTGAGGCTAAGAGCACTCACCATAAAAGAGTCGCTGGGGTTCCTCGGTCACCCCACAAGGCAGCATGACACCCTGGCTCGGGGAGGCTGGACTGAGGGTCTGGGTGGCCTTGTCTTCCTGGCTGATGGGTCGAAGCCCAGGGCCACAGCAGTGGGTGAGAGGGAACAGCTGCAGGCGGCTGAGGGGGCAATCCAGCTGGCTCTGGGCAAACAGGTCAGCAGAGGGCAAGCTCCCAGGCTGGGTCCCCAGCTCATCCTCTGGCTGAAACACATCATCCTCCAGCTCCTCCACACACTGAGGTGGATCCATCTCCCCTGTTGGGCGTAATAAGGCATCCAGGATGCTAACCTATCCCCTTCCAGGCCAACCCTGGGGTGGGAGTCCTAGAGTAGGGTCCTCCCCTCCCTTCCTTCTTCTTCTTCTCCCTTCTTATTTGTGGAAGCGAGGCCAGGTACTGATGACTGATAACACTGGTGATATAGTAGTGCCAAGGGTGACACCCATCCCCAAATGTGGACTACCTCATTGTTCAGGGACTCTCCACACCTCTTTTCTGAGCTCACCCAGAGCTACCCTCCCTTCAGCCTCTCTTCTGACCCAGCTGGTCACAGTCATGAAGTTTGACTGCTACCAACTCTGAGCAATAGCAGGGGTGTGATCAGCTGCTACAAGCACTCAGGGTACCTGGGGAAATGTCAACAAGACTAGCCTCTGTAAGTGGCTGTGGGAGGGCAAAAGGGTGCTGTGACTGGTTGTACACATAGTGCTCACAACACTCTCTCTCTCACTCACTGCCCTGAGGAGTAACCAACCACCAAGTCTGAACTCAGCTCCAGGCTCAGCAGTAAAAACAAAAGCCAGCCAGCAACCCTAGGGCAGACAGGTTCCCTCCAAACCTGCTAAGCCCTGCCCAGCTGCCCATCTACTCTAGTCTCCACCCCCAGCTTGCTCAACACAACAAACAGGCTCCCTGGTGTGGTAAGAGTGTGTCCTGGGAGAGAAAGGGAAGAAAGACCCAAGTTAGTCATTGCAGCTGCCCTCTCAGCCCAGTAGAGCTGTCTGCCCACCACAGCTTGGCCTAGAGGGTAGGTCCAGCATCCAGCAAAGTAGCTGACCTCCTCCAGCTCAGTCTACTCACTAGTCTCCATGATTTCAAATCTTTCCCCACAATCTATCATTCCTGCCAGTGCTGAACCTTATATTGGTACAACCTGCCTCACAGGAGGAAGTGAAATTTGGCCCTTTCTCTGTGACCTCACTCACTGCCTAAATTACTCAGGTTGTTGATATGAGTTTCTTGGTAATAAAGAAGTTCCTCTTGCTCCACCTGATGACTCTTGGAAGTCTGACCTTGGAGCCACCTAGCATCTTGAGTTCCCAAACCAGCCCCCTACACACAAACTAGGAACTCTGTAGAGCCCCTGGAGCAGCCAGAAGCAAAACCACCTGAATGGTTAAGGATAGAGAGAGACAATGTTTGTCACTGCCAGATTCAATTAGAGATCCCCTGGGAATTCTGCCTCCCAGTCTCTTGCCTTTGAAGAACAAGCCAAATGGTCTGTGGGTTGGTAAAGTACTTAAAGAAATCTCAGTTAAATTCAGAAATCCTGGCTTGCCCAAATGCAAGCTGTCTCTCTGAAGTTCTTGCTTTAACCTTCCCTCTATCCCATCTAGTCCTGAAGCTATGGTCCTATTTCTGCCCTCTTCCCTGCAGAGTGAGGAGATGCCCACTTGGATGGCAGGAGAGGCACCCAGTGTTCTTCGAATAGTGTTTCCCAAAGCGAGGAGGGAGAACTCCAGCTTATCAGCACCGGGAAACAAAGTTTCCTGCTGAAAAGACCAAAAGCTGTCCTGCCAGTCACCTGGCAGGGGCTCCCCTCCTACCCTTCAACCTCATCTCAGCAAGCTGGCAATCCCAACCTAAAAAGGGGCCCTCCAACGCCAATCACAAATAGGACTCATTGTCTTGTTTCTTCCTTTGAAGCCCGTCACCTCCCCCCCTTCCCCTCCCCCTCCCTGCAAAGCCCCAAAGTTCAACCCTTGCCTGGACTGGACAGTGGGGGAGGTACAGCCAGAGGGTGTGGCTCTGCCAGCCAGCGGACCCTTCCTACTCTCCCCGGGAACTGCAGGTGGGAGCCTCCGGAGGGGTGCTGGGCAAGGTCAAGTGTAAACTGGGACACAGTAGAGACTCTCTTCTCCCCGTCCCCAGAACTGAAGAGGTGATGTCCAAACTGGCAGGAGGAGCACTTCCTGAATGCGGCGCTAGGGCAGGCTTTATTCCTAGCGAGGGAAACTGCAGCCCGCTGCAGCCATCCCGGCCCCTGTGGGCTCTAACAGGGATGCTGAACTTAGACTCCTCCTCCTAGGAGAAGGCAGTAGGCACTCTGAACTCTACGGGGCTAAAGTCTGGGAACGCTCACACACTCACTCGCACACGCACGCACACGCACGCACACACGCACGCACATAACACACACCAGACCTGGGTGACTCCAGGAGAGAGTCTCGGCCTCCGAGTCGTGATGCCAGGGCTCCGCGCCAGGGTCCAGCGTGACGAGCACTCGGGGGCTTGGCGCCCAGAATCAATTGGGAAGAAGGGGAAAGCCCAGCTGTTAAGGAGAGGGGCTCTCAGACTCCGCTGGGAGGCAGGACGCCCCACAACTTCCTGCCCTACCCCAGAGTGAGACCCAGAGACCCGGCCGTTCTCGGGCGCCCAGGTCGGCTCAGCAGCGCACCGCAGGTTCGCCTGCCCACCTGGACCCGACTCCTGGGACTCTCGAGGGCTACCACCCCCAAGTTGCCTCGTGGAGCAGCGCACCTAGATGTGGGTTCTGCACCCTGTTTCCGCAGCCCAGCGCCCCAGTCCTTCATGGTCACCCCAGACACCCGCAGCCCAACCCTTCCCGGGCCCCCACGCACAGCGCGACTCCTCTCCCCACTTCGCCGAGGAGGTGCGATCCGACTCCGCCCGGCTCCCGGCCGCCCGGGCGCTCTGCGGCTGTTGCGGGAGGCGAGAGGCAAGAGCAGGGGCGGCGGCGACAGCGGGCGGGCGGGCGCGGGAGGAGACCGCTCCGCACCGCGCGGTATTGTTTCCAAAATGCGCCCGCTGAGGGCATCCCGCAAACAGCTGACTAAGGCCCCCCCGCCCGCCTCCAGCGCGTCACCAGACTGCTGGCCAATGGGGAGTGGAGCCCCAAGTCCCGGGCTAGGCAGCTGCTAGGGACAGTCACGAATGTGCGAACCTTCCCTTAACGTTCAAGGGGCCGAGCAAAAATTCTGACCCGCGCCAGAAACGCAAATGGCGCGTCGTCGTCCACGCAGATTCAGTTCCTAACGCAAACTCGGGAAGCACCGGAGAGTCCCTGAGCCCTTTACATTAGGAACGAGCAAGGGATTGCCAAAGTGACTTTTTTGTCTTCTTTCCCGGGAATGGGCTAAATAAATACGTCGTCCAGACAGGAAGCGGAGGAGGGGGCGGAGAGCTTGTAGACGGGGTTGGTGGCTTCCCCTGGGTGCAGGTGCCCGTCCCTGTGGATCCTGGCCTGGTGGCAAAGCACCCTCCCGCTTGCCGAGCGAGTCAGCAGAAAACTCCAGCCCTAAATCTGTAGGAAGCCTGAGAACTTGTGTCTAGAGCTGTTACTGAGTGACTTTCAGATCAAACACACGCAAAGGGACCCTCAGGTCCTCTTCCTGACTGGGCGTGGACATTTACAAAATAAGCATCTGGCTGAGGAGAGGAGAGATCAAGCATGCAGGGACTGCTTGGGCAGTTGACATACATCCTGTTTAGGGCAGCATCCAGAGGTGGTGCAGGTGCTGCCAGAAGAGCTAAGTGTCCTGCGCATCGCATGCTGCTGGTAGGGGACTCTGTGGACTCCTTCACAAACATTTATTGAGCATCCGTATTGTGCTGGGCTCTGGGCCAGGTGCCAAAAACCTGGTGTCTGCCCTCAGAGAGCTTACAATCTACTCGGAGAGGTAGACTTGAAAATAATGGAAAGCAGTATGAAATGTGTTAATTTCAGGGATAATGATTGCTGGGAGATGCAAAAAAATTCAGAATCCAAAGACTGCAGAAGGCTTTAGGGAGAAGGATTTTGAGTTGGGCCTTGAAGCATGGGGAAATTTTTCAATAAGGAAAACCAGGTAAGACAGCTGAGGCACAGGGGCAGCAGAATAAAGTAAACTGGGGAATCTGTCCTGGGAGCAGGCTAGAGGATGGGATTATTGGGGGCACACTGGGATTTAGGAAGGGTAGCATGGACAGGTAGATTTAAGTCAGAGTACCTAAATGCCAGGTTGGGGAATCTGTACTTATTCCAGAGGCAAGGAGGAGCCAGCAAAGATTTTACAGAAGATGAGTGACTTGGCCAAGCCTGAATTTTAGAACAGATAAATGAAGAGGCCAGAAATGAGTGAGAGGGAGCCAGTCCCTGCAATAGACTAGATGACTGATTATGGGGCTCGATCCCAGTGGCAGTGGGGACTGGTGGTCCTCTGACTACCAAGCTGCTCTCTCTGGTGGTAAACTCACAGACTTAAGGTGGAGCCGGGACCTTTAGCATAGAGGAGCCTGAAGTCATCTTATACCTTTTTCCTACCCTTCTTTCCTTAGTTCCCTCAAAGGGTACCTGAAAGCAAGCAAACCAGGCATACTGAGGACTGTGGTTGCTAGAGTAAGAAAACACTGTCCCAAAAGGATGAGAAGAGGGAAAAGGGAAGGACAGGAGAGTCAAGGTTGGCTAGCAGCCCAGTCGCCCTAGGAGTTGATGGACCTCCAAAAAGAGATGCTGGAGCGAAAAGGAGGTATAGGATTTTACCAGGAGGTTTGTCCAAGAGGGAGTCAGAACCTGTCATGCCACATGCCAGGAGATGAGACCAAACACAGCCTCTGTGCAAGGTTCTCAGGAGCCCTCACCTTGTTCACCATGCACAGATCCCTTTCCTCTCCTTCCTCCATACTTCTTATATTGGCTTTCCTCCTGCGCCAGAGTTTCAGGCTGGCCTGTGATGACAATGGGAAGTATTTAGGGTAAAGAGTGGAACTGAGAGACAAAGCAGCTCTGAATCTGTCCTCTGGGGCAGCATAGGCCCCCGGGGGGGGTGGGGCAGAGGTCACCCTAATTCTCCTTACCCACCCAAGCTGCTAAAGCTCTGTCTGCTTCCTCACAGCCCTGTAAGATGGAAAGGAGTCCACAGGGCAAGGAAGTTGCTAGAGCAGGGTGTTTACCTGGGATCCAGTATTTGCCAGACTCACCAGGGTCTCCTCAGCTTTAGGATCTGTGAACCCCTGAAACTGGCAAAATTCTGCTTGGGTTCACACAAACATTTTTGGAGGGGTGGCTCCATAGCTTATAAAAGTTTCCCAAAGGGGTCTGTGACCCTATAAAGAGGTTAAAAATCACCATTGTAGGGTAATGGGGCTGGGGAGCAGAGGAGATCATCTTAGTGGGATTGTGCAGTTTGCAAGATGAAGGGAGGGTCACACCCTCTAGTGACATTTCTTCTAAGACCTCTCTCCCAGGCTTTCCCAGGCTGCTCCCTCGGGCTAGTTCTAAAGGACACCTGGTGGCTTGGCCTCCTGTGCTGTCAGCCTCTTAAGGTCAAGCAGCAGGGGCCCAGCCTTCTGAGCCAGAGGGACCAGAAAAGATTGTCAGGGATAAAGGGGTCAGGGAGGTCAGGAGCCTCACTCCCCACCTCTCATCACTGTCAAAGCAGACCCCTCCCTCTCTGCCCTTTCTCCCCTGCCAGACAGGGCAGACTCAGCAGAGTCAGGACCTGCTGGGCTAGAGATCTGGGCTCTGAACCCCCTATCCAACAGCAGCATGCTAGGTATAGACAAGCCCTAGGCTTTTGACTGGGCTCAGAGCAAATGCACATTGCAGCTGTACCGGACCTTATTTTGGAGAATTTCCTTTCTCTCTCTTCCTATCCCTTGCCCCAATTTGTTTTCTCTTCTGCTGACTGATCCTGGCTCTAGAAGGAGGGTCCCCAGAGAGTAAAATTGCTCTGAACGGCAGCGTCAGTGTGCAGGCCGGAGAGGGAAGCAGACCTTCCCCCACAATCTGGGAGGTATGCAAAGAGTTAAGGGGAGCGCTTTCAACAGAAGAGAAAACCCAGCTCCCTGTAGACAGCAGGCAGGAGCCCTCTCCATTGTTTCACCTGGCTATAGGATTTCTCTCTGAGACAAGGAATGGGCTCTAAAACTCTGGTAACTGGATCACTGGGAAGGGAGGTTTTTTAAAAACCAGCTGACAGCTGAATAATAGGAATTACCAGGCAGGCAGCCCTGGGGGTTACTGAGGTTTGTAACTCAACCCCCAAGGAGGGGTTAGATTGGAAACTGATTTATGGGTAAGGTGGGGGTCTTGGTGGGGGAGCCCATAGTGCTTGACCCCCTTGCCTCTTAACTCCCTCAAGGAGGGGTCCTGAATGTAAGAAAGACCAGGAACCTGGAAGGCTTGGTGTCCTTCCCTGGCTGGACTTGCTCTAACAGAGTGAATTTATCTCTCTGTGCATGGTCCCATCTGCCTGCATAGGAATTAGTCCCTCTCTTCTGAGTTGCAGAGGGTGAGGGTGTGTGTGTGTGTGTGTGTGTGTGTGTGTGTGTGTGTGTGTGTGTGTG